TAGTTGTGAACAACCCCTTTGGTTCTTTTGCCCAAATCAAAGAATCAGCTGGATGGAATAAGGTCAAAGGGATGCTCAAAATCAAATCCACTTCCTCCTTCAAAAACCGTCTACGCACTAAATTCGAGTTCCACCGGACTCCATCATCCTCCGCCATCAAGGATCTCACCGTAAGAAGTGGGTGCACCTCCATCGGTAGGGGGCTAAGGACTTGATAGAAATGCTCCTGTGGCAGCCAACTATCCCCCCAAATGCGAATTCGTAGACCATCCTCCACTCTTCATCTCGCACCTTGAAAAATAATTATTCGAGATGCCGTCACACTGCGCAAGAAGTAGGTTTAACAGGAGCCTACAAGAACCATGTGGTAGGATAATACCGGGCTTTGAAAATTCATGCAACAAGAGACACGTGTTGCTTTTATATGATCGTGCGTGTAGAAAAAGGTATGTAGGCTAAAAATTATATTTGTTATTGATACATGAATGTGGAAAAATGGAAGAGAATGCAAATGGAAGAGAATGCTTATGGAAGAGAATGCAAATGGAAGAGAATGCTTATTTTTTCATTGTCTTTCTCTACAAGATTACAAGGATATATATACATGATACAAATGTGTAGGTAGGACAAGGTAGCCGTCCTAGTGTGTAGGTAGGACAAGGTAGGACGGCTGTAGAGGACAAGGTAGCCGTCCTAGTGTGTAGGTAGGATAAGGTAGGACGGCTTGACGGCTGTAGGACGGCTAGTGTGTAGGTAGGACAAGGTAGGACGGCTGTAGGACGGCTTATTCTTCCAATAATAATATTATATACAATTACACAAAGACTCCAACCATATTCCTTATTTGTCTAACACTCCCCCTCAAGTTGGAGAGTGGATGTCAAGAACTCCCAACTTGCGTAACATACCCGAAAACTTTTCTTTCCTAAGAGGTTTGGTAAACAAGTCTACCAACTGTTGTGCCGTACCCACATGCTTGGTCTCTATTGTGCCATCTACAATCTTATCTCGTATAAAGTGACAATCCATCTCAATGTGACGAGTTCGTTCATGAAAAACAGGATTGGCAGCTATATGTAACACTGCTTGATTATCACAAAATAAAATGGAAGGACCATCCAAAGGAATGTTCAAATCCTTCAACAAAAAACGAAGCCAAACTATCTCGCAACAAGCACCTGCCATGGCCCTATATTCCGCCTCTGCTGAAGAGAGCGAAACGGTTTTCTGTCATTTCGTCCGCCAAGAAATCAAAGAACCGCCCAAGAATACACAATACCCAGTAGTCGAACGGCGAGTGATAGGGCAACCTGCCCAATCAGAATCACAAAACGCAGTTAACTTGGTCTGGTTGTCAGAACGAAATAATAAACCTAGACCTGGAGTAGCCTTCAAATAACGAACAATACGAAGCGCAGCATCCATATGAGATATCCTTGGCTCGTGCATAAAATGGCTTAGAACATGCACAGAATAGGTGATATCCGGCCGAGTGATAGTGAGATATATTAACCGACCTACTAATCGTCGATACTTTTCAGGATCCTTGAGAAGTTCTCCTTTATCAGATAATTTTGTGTCATCCATAGGAAAAGCAATGGGTCGTGCTCCCAAAAAACAATGGGTCGTGCTCCCAAAAAACCATAGTCCTTGAGAATCTCTAATGCATACTTGCGTTGAGAAATATAAATCCCTTGTTTGAAACGAGAAACCTCAATACCCTAAAAATATTTTAAATCACCAAGGTCTTTTATACGAAAATGATCACGGAGAAAAGACTTCAGAGAATTAATGGCACTAGCATCATTGCCTGTAATCACAATATCATCCACATAAATGAGCAAAGCTGTGAAAGAAATACCAGACTTTTTAGTGAACAATGAATAGTCAGCTTTGGATTGTTGAAAACCGGCAAAAATGATGGCACTAGTGAATTTGGCAAACCATTGGCGAGAAGCCTGCTTAAGACCATATAGTGACTTGTGAAGGCGACACATAAGATTCTCCCCCTGTCGCCGAAGACCAGGAGGAGGAGACATATAGATTTCTTCATGTAAGTCACCATGTAAGAAAGCATTATTAACATCAAGCTGATGAAGAGACCAAGACTGACTAGCAGCAAGAGCAAGAAGACAACGCACCGTAATCATCTTAGCAGTAGGAGAAAAAGTGTCATGATAATCAATACCTTCAGCCTGAGTGAAGCCTTTAGCAACCAAACGAACTTTGTAGCGGTCAATAGAGCCGTCGGAATTGTGCTTGAGTTTGTACACCCACTTACAACCAATGGGAATTTTGCCAGGGGGCAAGGAAGTTAAAGTCTAAGTACCATTAGCATGTAAAGCTTGAAGCTCCTCAGTCATAGCACGTTGCCAATTGGGGTCAGTGGCAGCCTCGGCAAAGGAGGAAGGCTCCACAGTCCGACTGACAGAGTTAATGTAAGAAAAATGCCTGGGAGTGTAACGGTGATAAGAGAGAAAATTACAAAGTGGATATCGCGTACCTTGTGTAGAACCGGGTTGCGAAGTCGAAGATGGGTGGGATGGCAGAATCACCTGCGAGCAAACGTAGTCTTTTAAATAGGATGGAGGTTTATGGGCACGGGAAGAGGTGCGGGGAAGGGGAGGATTGGTAGGTAGTGGGGGGGGGGGGTAGGGATGTCCGTGGGTAAAAGGGTGAAAGGTAAGGAAGTAGCGGGGGGGGGGGGGAAGGAGGGGATGCCGAGAGGGCAGGGGCATGGGGAGGAACGGGTAATGGGGCAGCAAGGGAATCTGTGGGAGGCGTGGAAGGGGAGGAAGGTGGAGTAGGGTGAGGCGTCGGGGCAAGAAGGGGTGGGTTATATGTAAAGTCCAGAGGGGGTGGGATGGGTAGGGTAGGCGAAGAGGATGGGATAGGAGGGTGAGAAACGGCATAAGGGAAAGTACTTTCGTGAAAGATGACGTCTCGACTAGTGAAAATGTGGTGATTGTCGAGATCGTAAAGGGTATAGGCCTTTTGTCTATGAGGATAACCGAGAAAAATGCAACGATGAGCCCAAGGGGAAAATTTGGTGGTGGGAGTGACAGAGGTGGCATATGCCAGACAACCAAAGACGCGGAAGTGGTCATAAGATGGGGTTTTCGAAAAGAGAACCTCAAATGGGGATTTATGATGGAGAAGACGGGTAGGGAGACGATTGATGAGATAAGTAGCGGTAAGAACACATTCCCCCCAAAACTTGATAGGAAGATGGGATTGAAAACGAAGGGCGCGAGCGGTTTCAAGAAGATGACGATGTTTTCTTTCAACAACACCATTTTGTTGGGGGGGGTATAAACACAAGAAGTTTGTAAAAGCACCCATGATCAGAGAAAAAACTACGAAGAGATAAAAATTCACCACCATTGTCAGTACGAATGCATTGGATGGTAGTGCGGAATTGGGTAGTGACATAAGCAAAAAAATCCTTAATTAATTGTTGAGTGTCAGATTTATGTTTCATGAGGAAGACCCACGTAAAGCGAGAAAAATCATCCACAATGGTTAAGAAATAATTAGCACCAGAAAGAGAAGATTGACGATTCGGGCCCCAAATATCACAATGAATTAAAGCAAAAGGGAAAGTTGATGAAATTGAACTTAAAGGAAAAGGTTGACGAGTTTGTTTTGCCAACGGACAAACATCACAAATATGACTAGAATCAAAAGTGCAATTAAGAGAGCTAGATGCTAAAGCTTGCAAACGAGTGGAGGAGGGGTGACCAAGACGCCTATGCCAGAGGGAGGAGGGGATGGTAATGATGTTGCAGAGAGGTTGACGGGTGGGGAGAGAAGAGGTAAGGGCCACAAGGTAATACAGATCGTCACGTCGCTTACCCACACCAATCATCGCCTTCGAAACCAAGTCCTGCAAAACACACCAAGAAGGAAAGAAGGTTATGGAACACGATAATCCATCTGTAAGTTTACCAACCGATAAAAGGTCCACTCGGAAATTAGGGACACATAAAACATCCTTCAAAGTAATTGAGGAATTTAAAGGAAGAGTGCCGGTAAAAGTAATGGGAGCGGAAGCACCACTAGGCAAAGAAACAGGCGGCAAATGTGAAGGAGAACGATTAACCAAACCTGAAGCGGAAGAAGTAATATGATCCGTAGCACCACTGTCAAGAATCCATTGACCATGACGAGAGATGACAGGTAACAAACCTTGGGCAAAATCAGTAGTGAGCACGACATTGGCCTGAGGAAGGGTGGTGGTGTCACGTAGAGCAGCTAGAACACGGAAGTGCTGCTCGGCAGAGAGGTCAGGCATGGCAAGCTGCAAGTCATGCAAAGTGGGCTGGGTCCCGTGCACTTGGTGGGTCGCTGGAGTAGAAGAGGAGGCGGAGGCCTGGGTGCCTTGCACGTGATGGGCCTGGGTGAAATTATGGGGCCGGGAAGCAGAAAACCGTGGCTGCTGGGGAGGACTAGAAGGTGCATGGCTGAGGGAAGAACTGGAAGCAGTGGCACGGCGCGGTGGTCGCCACGGTTGGCCATGGAGGGGATGGCCAACGGGATAGCCATGAAGTTTATGGCAGGTGTCTCGGGTATGATAATCAAAATTGCAGTAGGTGCAGTGGAGGGGAGGACGAGCAGAGGAGGGACGGGACGGGCCACGAACAGCCATGGGAACGGCAGAGAAAGCTGCCGAAAAAAAAATTAGGGCTAGGGTTATAAACCTGCTCTGTATACCATGTAGAAAAAGGTATGTAGGCTAAAAATTATATTTGTTATTGATACATGAATGTGGAAAAATGGAAGAGAATGCAAATGGAAGAGAATGCTTATTTTTTCATTGTCTTTCTCTACAAGATTACAAGGATATATATACATGATACAAATGTGTAGGTAGGACAAGGTAGCCGTCCTAGTGTGTAGGTAGGACAAGGTAGGACGGCTGTAGGACGGCTTATTCTTCCAATAATAATATTATATACAATTACACAAGGACTCCAACCATATTTCTTATTTGTCTAACAGTGCGCTCTTGTCTCCGCTCTATGGCTGCTTCTGGCAATCTTTTTCTTTCTTGTTTTCCATTCGGTCTCACCGCCATCAAACCCTTGCTGCCCTGAAAACTCTTCGCTTCGTATTTTCTCTCGCTCACAGCCACCTTCAAAACCTCTCAAAGCAGCAAATTCAGTTCTACAATCTCTCACACTTAATCCAAAACCCTCAAACCAAAAACTCGATTTCAAATATCAAGCGGCTACGGTTTTAAGGTATGAAGTCGACTCTGGGGTTTCAAAATCAGGAATCAGGGGGGATTTTTGTTTAATTTCAATATCAGTGAGGTTTTTTATTTTTTATTTTTATGTTCAACTTCATTTTCTGATTTTAGTTTTAATTTTAGATTAAATCTCATTATTTTGGTTATAATTCAATAAATTTGTGCGAAGTAGGTTTTCTGTTGGACAGCTCGACTTCTCTCTCTGCCATTCGACTGGTGTCTCCTCCACAAAGTCGAAAAGAAATTCTTGACAGCTTCCCTATTACCACTGCAAAAGCTTCTTCATATTCTCCCTCATTTCTTCATCCTAAACTCTAATTTCCAAAATTATTCGGTAATTTCACATTTTTAATTTTGTACAGGCGTGAGTACGATGCGTATTTCTACAAGGCCTTCAAGGTGTACACGCATCTATGGAAATTTCAGCAAGAAAATCGCCAGAAACTCCTCCCCCTGTCTCTCTCATTCTTGAGGTATCTGCCGTTGGATTCCGTTTTTCGTCTGAAATATTTAATTTTTTATTCGAGTTTGCTGGGATTTATTCGATTCAACTGGGGTGGGTTTTCAATTGTTTGGATTTTTTTTATTAATTTAGATTTCTGGTTTTTTTGTTTTGTTAATTTTTTTTGTTGGTACCGCAATGATAATTTCGTTCAATTTCAATTTCATTTTCTGATCTTTGTTTTAATTTTGGATTTAATCTAATTATTTTGATTCTTATTCAATAAATTTGTGTAAAGTAGGTTTATTGTTGGAGAAGTGGTTGACCTTTTAATTGTGCCTGTTGTGTTAGTGGTCGTTGCTGGACCGGCAAGAAAAAAGTCTACTTTGCATAACGACACACCTGCTTTTTTGCAGCAAGGACCAAAACAAGTACAAGTGAAGGCTCAACTGTTTGGGTATATCTCCTAAACCTAATTATTCTTATTTAAATGGAGTCTACTTTTACAGATACGAATTTGTATTATTTTATTCAACTGTCTGTGGAAGTCTTTTAATGCAAGCAATTAGATTTTCTTTTTCAATCAATTTGGGGGGTTTAGGATGAGAAGTGGTACACAGAATTGGTGTTTTGTAAGAGGACGAGGTTTTTCAATTTAGTCTGGTCAGAAAGTGAATGGAGGGAGTGGTGTGGGAAGAGATGGGAAAAGACTTCCGTGGTTGCCGGCAGCAAGAGCTAAAGGAGCAAAAGAGTTGGAGAAAGGAACTAGGGCGAAGACATCTGTTTTGTCTTGGGAGGAATCTGCAAAGAGGTTAGAGGAAGTCAGTGATAATGGTTCTTGGGGGAGAGCAGCAAAGAGTTTAGATGCAGATAGTAGTAAGTTGTCTTAGGACAATTCAGCAAGTATGTTAGAGGAAGAAACAAAGTCGAAAACTGGTCGTGCTTATTGGGAGGTGTCAAGAAATAGTTATGTTAGGAAAAATGGTGCATCAGAGCATGGGAGTAGAGAAGGTAGAACTGGAAGGGGAATTTTGGTAAGGGATCGTCAAAATGATTACTGTGGTAGGGACAGAAGATTGAGGAAAGCCGATACAGAAAAAATTTATGTTAGGAAAAGTGGTCCATTTGAGCATGGCAGTAGGGAAAGTAGAATTGGAAGGGGAAGTGCAGTAAAAGGAAAGAACTCCATTAGTTTGTTTTCACGATTAAGCTCTTTCCTTTTTTCATTCCTCATGCACTGAGAAGGCTGTAAAGAACAAAACTCCTTCCTCCCCTGTGCCGCGTGAACTAGCGGACCGATTACTAAGTGTGGATGCTCACTCCAGCATGAGAGAACCTTTTCGAAACTGGTTAGGAATGGGTGCCACTATCCCAGCTCAGATCCGTATATTCAGTCATACCGGCATGGCCCCACTGATTTGTTTTCAATGAAGAAAGAAGAAAAGATCGATGAACGATTAAGCGAGACTTTTCCTTAGAGAACCGACAGGAAGATGTCTATGGTTTAGATAAAACATATTATTTTGCAGTCTTCTGTTAATATTGTATGTATTTATAGTGTTATGGAAAGATTATTTGTGTTGCTATTCTTTGCTAAAATGTTTTTGCATAAATTTGCTTACATTTCTACTTCTATTCTAATCCCATGTATATTTGCTTGCAGTTCTATCGGAATCTTCTCTGAACCCAGAAAAAATTTAGCCTTCGGACGACGCTGACTGCTATAATCTAAGTGGTTTGGCAACTAATAGGTGGTATGCCCAATAACTCTTGCTGCTTTCGACAACCTTCAATTTCTTTCTCTTTCTGTACATATAATATATATTATCATAACATATATAAACAGATTTATACATACATAAATAAACATGCATACGCTCATTTGCTTGATTTGTGATGCTCAGTGAGCTTGAAAAAAAATTAGGCCCATTAATTTTTTTTTAATTTTTATAATATATCTCGGTTATTGAAATTGTATACTGTGTATCTATATCTTCTATATATATAAAGGGAGAATGCCAGTTTGGTGAAGCATTCAAAATACCAAGAATGCCCTCATTTTAAGAAAAAAAAAAAAGAACGCAAAATCATCTTAATAGAATATGGTTAAAATCGTAATACGCAACTATAATAGGGTTGAAATTGTAATACACACAATATAATATTCGGAGATGTTTTTACAACCGTTAGATGAAAGACATCCCCCATTCAAACAAATTGTGACCCTTAAGATGAAAGACATTCTACAAGCAGTGCTACAATGGAAACTGTAACCGACCGCACGTTCAAGAGGCCACAACCGCTTACTTAATCCCCAATATTCATAGAAAAAGGAGAAACAACTCAACCGCACATAGCCGTTTCTCACATTGTCTGTTTTATGCTTCTTCTTCGTCCACTTTCATCGTCTTAAATTTCCTATTCATTTTGCTCAATTTTTGTTCAATTTCGATAAGGTATTATAGCTCGGAGCTGATTTACAGATTTTAAAAATGGTGGATGCTAGGCAAAAAATGCTTGGACAGGTAATTCAATTTCAATGCCAAGACCGTTCGTTTCTTTTGGATAATTTTGATCTTCTGCTGATTTCGACTGAATTCTAAAAAAAAATTAATTTTCTTAGTTTAATTTGTAGTTGTTCATTTCTGATGAAGAGCTGTGAATGTTATGAATTGCTACAGGTTTAAACTAACGATCTGTTCAACAATATGAAATTGCTTTGTGTTTTAAGATCTTCATCCGAATAAAGTTTCGTTATTTTGTATGTTAACGGACACCCATTTGCAGTTCGAAGCCGATGTGCATATTTTGAAAATGGTGTATGCTGGGGCCAAAACGGCTTGGACAAGTAATTCAATTTCAATGGCTAGACCGTTCTTTATTTTTTTTTTTATTTATTATTTTTTTTTTGCGTAAGTTTGGTCTTCTGCTAATTTCGACCAAAAAAAAATAATAATTTGTTTAGTTTAATTTGTAGCTTCTTTGCACGAAGCGTCCTCCCTCCTCCTCCTACCCCACATCACTCTCTTCTGGAACGCAAAGCAAAACCTAAAATTTAAAAGAAAAAACCCAAAACCACTGCTCCCTTTTTGTATTGAAAATTCATTTGCTCTTTTCTTGAAAGCTTTCAAAAATCGAGTGACAATACCTTATCGAAATTGAACAAAAATTGAGCAAAATGAATAGGAAATTTAAGATGATGAAAGTGGACGAAGAAGAAGCATAAAACAGACGATGTGAGAAACGGCTATGTGCGGTTGAGTTGTTTCTCCTTTTTCTATGAATATTGGGGATTATGTAAGCGGTTGTGGCCTCTTGAACGTGCGGTCGGTTACAGTTTCCATTGTAGCAACTGCTTGTAGAATGTCTTTCATCTTAAGGGTCACAATTTGTTTGAATAGGGGATGTCTTTCATCTAACGGTTGTAAAAACATCTCCGAATATTATATTGTGTGTATTACAATTTCAGCCCTATTATAGTTGCGTATTACGATTTTAACCATATTCTATTAAGATGATTTTGCGTTTTTTTTTTCCTAAAGTGAGGCCATTCTTGGCATTTTGAATGTTTCACCAAACTTCCTTGACTTAGAGGATCATATAAATGATGCAACCTACATGGTGGAAAGGGCAGTGGTAACTCCTACAAATGAAGACGTTGATATGTTGAATGAAAAGATAATCAATATGTTTCCGGGTTTAGAAGAGACAATGTATTCATTTGATTCAGTTGAGGATGACACAAGGAATTTGTATCAGCCAGAGTTCTTGAATTCAATCTCACTTGGTGGTTTGCCTCCGCACAAGTTAACTCTGAAAAGAGGTGCGCCAATCATGCTTTTAAGAAATATTGATTTGAAATTGGGATTGTGTAATGGTATAAGATTATTGTGTCGTGGTTCTTACCAAAATCTTATTGATGCTGAAATTCTAACTGGATAATTTGCCGGATCCAGAGTTTTCTTACCAAGAATCCCTCTCAAAAGTACTGATACTGCTGGGCTTCCATTTGAACTTACAAGAAAGCAATTTCCAGTGAAACTAAGTTTCTCTATCACTATAAACAAATCTCAAGGTCAGACAATACCACATGTAGGCATTTACCTTCTAGATCATGTCTTCAGCCATGGACAATTATATGTGGCTTTATCGAGGGGGGTCTCAAAGTCAACCACAACCGTGTTAGTAAAAAGTGGCTCCATAGTAGGCCAACAAGGTGTATTTACACGGAATGTAGTATACAAAGAAGTCTTGCTTCATTCCAGCTAATTATGGTGATTCCTAATAGGTAACAGCTTTATTAACGATAACCTTTCAGTATGCATTTCTCACTTATCAATTAACTATTTTTATTTGATTTTTAATTTTCTCACTATCGTTTGTAGATTGGCAATGAAAATTTGAAACATCAATCATGAACAAATGGGTGGAAATTGCATCATTGATGTCAATATGTAAACTTTCTTTTCAAAAGAAACAGTGACATATAGACTCTATGAGTATTGTGAATAATGTACATATTGTTATGTAGGATTTATATTTTGACATTTAAATTGTTTTGTATTTTGCTACGAGTACTTACTGTTTTCATCTACTATTTTTTTTTTTATTTACATATACTTGCTATTGTTCATAGGCTTTAGGTAGGAACTTGCATCTAAAATCGTATGTTGTTTGATAAGTGCATGAATAACATTTAAATCATTACTTTACACAAAGTAAAAACGAAAAACATGATAACTTTTTAGGACGTGCATGATAAAAAAAGTTCCTCTTTGCACAATACATTTAAAGTATATCTTGACAATTACAATGAGAAAAACTAACACAATACACCTTTAGGGGCGCGTAGCGCCCGTGATGCAAAAATGCCTCTCGCACGCACGTTAATGCGTGCAGAGAGGCTAGTATTGTAATTAAATTCTAAATAATAATTAATTAACCAAAGAAAAGTATTTAATTATACAATATATGAAAATGTACATACAAGATGTCCAAATAAAAAAGAAAAAACTACAAGTAATCTTCTAGGTGAAGTGGCTACTGGGTATCGGCAGGGTGAAGTGGCTCGGAGGTTGAAGGTGTAGCAAGATCAGGTATTGGTAGTGAGATTTGGAGGCCGGTCATCTGTATGGCTCGTATAAGATCTCTCATCTGTCCGTTATAAGTATGACGCTGCTCGTCCTGGGCCCTTATCTGCTCCTTCATCTGCTCACCCTCGGCCCTCATCTGCTCGCCCTGGACCTCAAGCTGACCCTTTAGGGTTATCACTTCCTCCTTCAATGAATCGACCTCTGTGGTGTTTGATCTGGAAGAAGAGGCACCAGTCTCACGAAGTCGTGCTTTCCCCATGCACCGAACAACCTTGTCGTGACAACGACCGAAGTTCTGATCTAGGACATCAGTCAAAATCTGAAAACCTGCATCATCAGGTACTGTGACGTCCTCAATTGGGGTCTCCGGGGGAAGTTGCGATGTTGCTTCTTGGAGAATAGTAGTGCTCTTTTCCACCATAAGAGCCTGTAATAATAAAGAAAAAACATATATATAAATAATATTTGAACGATTCATACATATAAGAATAATAACAATTACATATACTTACATGAAGCTGCCCAGCGGTCTCATCTCCAGGTCGAACGTAAACGTCCTCGAACATGTCGATCTCTGGGAACTTAGAACCCTCCTGAAGAAAGAAAAAAAAACATTAAGAAAATTTTATTAATCAATAATAATAAATAAATTGTATAAAATTTCTAAATTAATATACTTTTACCTGACGTCGTGTCTGAAGCCTATATGAAAAGGGCTTCGAACCAGAATGGTGGAGAAGTGTCTTTGACTCCCGAGCTATCTTGCCAGCAACAGATTTCTTCTGTTAAACACACAATATACATGTTAATGCGACTATTTGAAATAAATTAATAAAAAAAAGCTTTAAAAAATAACTAAAACAATAATAAATTATTATTCAAATATTATGTACATACCACAAATTTTGGGTCCGTAAAATGTTTGCAAAGCCATTCCCAATCCTCTGGCCGGTCCTTCAACTCGCTTGGGCAACCATGTAGGCGAGCAATCTCCGGAGTATCCCATAGCTTAAAATGCGTGTGAAGATAGTTCTTCCAATGTTTGTACCAGATTGCTAAGGTCTCATCTAAGTAGGCCTTGACCTCGGGAAATATATCATCAAGATCGAAAATTACCTACGAATATGAAAAACAATAAAATAATAGTAAGAAATATAATAATATTAAGATAATATATTTTGGTTTTTAATATTTGTAAACAAAACTAAAAAAATGATATTGAATCCGAATTTGTTTATTTAGATGAAGAAAAGAATGCAAGAATAGGAAAAATAATTTATGAACCCAATGACATTCATGAACAAGCAACTCAGACATGGCATAAAGTACAAGATTATAATAAACAAGAATCGATAAGATTAGCTTATGAATTTGAAAAAGAAACAGAAGAGGTAATTACAAAAATTGATGAAATAGATCAAAATGAATTAAATAACGAGATACAAGAGTTGGATGATTTAATTTCATTACTAGATTCGATACATACCTAAGTAATCCAGTGAGTCAAAATGAATATACAGAACATCAAGAAGAACAATATTTTTATGCAGAGGGAGAAAGATGAGTCTTAAAAATCAAATTCGGATTGAATATATGGGAAAGAGGGAAAGAGGGAAAGAAAAGGGGAAAAAGGGAAGAAGGAAAGAGGTTTATACGGGAGGGAAAGAGGGAAAGAAAGAGGAAAAATCAAGTGGTCTATTAATTATATTAAGTGGTCTATTAGATTAAGAGGGAAAGAGGGAAAGAGGGAAAGAAAAAGGGAAAAAGGGAAGAAGGAAAGAGGTTTATACGGGAGGGAAAGAGGGAAAGAAAGAGGGAAAATCAAGTGGTCTATTAATTATATTAAGTTGTCTATTAGATTAAGAGGGAAAGAGGGAAAGAGGGAAAGAAAAAGGGAAAAAGGGAAGAAGGAAAGAGGTTTATACGGGAGGGAAAGAGGGAAAGAAAGAGGGAAAATCAAGTGGTCTATTAATTATATTAAGTGGTCTATTAGATTAAGAGGGAAAGAGGGAAAGAGGGAAGAAAAAGGGAAAAAGGGAAGAAGGAAAGAGGTTTATACGGGAGGGAAAGAGGGAAAGAAAGAGGGAAAATCAAGTGGTCTCTTAATTATATTAAGTGGTCTATTAGATTAAGAGGGAAAGAGGGAAAGAGGGAAAGAGGGAAAGAAAAAGGGAAAAAGGGAAGAAGGAAAGAGGTTTATACGGGAGGGAAAGAGGGAAAGAAAGAGGGAAAATCAAGTGGTCTATTAATTATATTAAGTTGTCTATTAGATTAAGAGGGCAAGAGGGAAAGAGGGAAAGAAAAAGGGAAAAAGGGAAGAAGGAAAGAGGTTTATACGGGAGGGAAAGAGGGAAAGAAAGAGGGAAAATCAAGTGGTCTATTAATTATATTAAGTGGTCTATTAGATTAAGAGGGAAAGAGGGAAAGAGGGAAAGAAAAAGGGAAAAAGGGAAGAAGGAAAGATGTTTATACGGGAGGGAAAGAGGGAAAGAAAGAGGGAAAATCAAGTGGTCTATTAATTATATTACGGGAAAGAGGGAAAGATGAGTCTTAAAAATCAAATTCGGATTCAATATATGGGAAAGAGGGAAAGAGGGAAAGAGGGAAAGAAAAGGGGAAAAAGGGAAGAAGGAAAGAGGTTTATACGGGAGGGAAAGAGGGAAAGAAAGATGGAAAATCAAGTGGTCTATTAATTATATTAAGTGGTCTATTAGATTAAGAGGGAAAGAGGGAAAGAGTGAAAGAAAAAGGGAAAAAGGGAAGAAGGAAAGAGGTTTATACGGGAGGGAAAGAGGGAAAGAAAGAGGGAAAATCAAGTGGTCTGTTAATTATATTAAGTGGTCTATTAGATTAAGAGGGAAAGAGGGAAAGAGGGAAAGAAAAAGAGAAAAAGGGAAGAAGGAAAGAGGTTTATACGGGATGGAAAGAGGGAAAGAAAGAGGGAAAATCAAGTGGTCTATTAATTATATTAAGTCGTCTATTAGATTAAGAGGGAAAGAGGGAGGGAAAGAGGGAAAGAAAGAGGGAAAATCAAGTGGTCTATTAATTATATTAAGTGGTCTATTAGATTAAGAGGGAAAAAGGGAAAGAGGGAAAGAAAAAGGGAAAAAGGGAAGAAGGAAAGAGGTTTATATGGGATGGAAAGAGGGAAATAAAGAGGGAAAATCAAGTGGTCTATTAATTATATTAAGTTGTCTATTAGATTAAGAGGGAAAGAGGGAAAGAGGGAAAGAAAAAGGGAAAAAGGGAAGAAGGAAAGAGGTTTATACGGAAAGAGGGAAAGAAAAAGGGAAAAAGGGAAGAAGGAAAGAGGTTTATACGGGAGGGAAAGAGGGAAAGAAAGAGGGATAATCAAGTGGTCTATTAATTATATTAAGTGGTCTATTAGATTAAGAGGGAAAGAGGGAAAGAGGGAAAGAAAAAGGGAAAAGGGAAGAAGGAAAGAGGTTTATACGGGAGGGAAAGAAAGAGGGAAAATCAAGTGGTCTATTAATTATATTAAGTGGTCTATTAGATTAAGAGGGAAAGAGGGAAAGAGGGAAAGAAAAAGGGAAAAAGGGAAGAAGGAAAGAGGTTTATACGGGAGGGAAAGAGGGAAAGAAAGAGGGAAAATCAAGTGGTCTATTAATTATATTACGGGAAGGAGGGAAAGATG